GAACCATTGGGGCTCGTTGGCAAAGATGCACAGGAGTGAGAAGACCATCCGGACCGCCATGAAGGGCAAAGCCGCAACAACCGCAAACAGTAGGCGACGGTCACCAGACTGAACATGAGCAATCCTAAGAAATGATAGCCCAGCGATGAGGACATCGGCGATAAAGACGACCAGGAAGAGACAGACTGCTGCCTTGAGTTCAGTGAAACCAGTCGACACATCCGACGGGTCGCTGCTGAAGACATTGGTGCTTCCGATGATACTGAGGATCAAACCAGCCAGCGAGGGGAGATGAATGACGCGGAAGACCCGAGGAGAGAGGCCGTGTCCATCCATACCGTTATTCACACGATCCAGGAGACCAAGGGCCGTGCACAGGGTTGCAGACAAGCCGAAACTGTTCATGATGTCGTACGTGATGGTGAGCCCTTGCGACGGATGATGGATTGAGACAAGGGATGAGATGGCACCAACAAGCCGAAAGAGGCAGATCATGACGAGGAACCGCCAGCCCAGGTGTTTGCGATGGCCATGCTTGTAGACGACGTATGCCGAAACGAACAAAGCCGGGAAGAAGAAGATGAGCTCGGTGATATCGAGGATCTCGAATGCTGAGATACCCATTGTTGAGAAAAGGTGAGGAAAGCCTGGAAGATATGAAATATGTACAGACTGAAGTCGGCAGGATTCAGACTGCTGTTTGGGAGTTTGTTGGTGACTCTAGCTGATGCTTTGACTTGGTGATTTCGACAGCATCTGGAGTCCTGAAGCGCGAGCCAACTATATAGACGCCTGAGGTCGAATCCTATATCAGCCATGTCCACGGCCAGTGCTGTGAGAACGAGGTGTTTGAAGCGTTGAGACATTTTCCAATCCCAAGATGGCCAACTGCGCGAGATGCTCGACTCTGACTGCCCATTGAGCACGCAGAGTTCAGGCATCGGTTTCGCGCACCTGAAGCCAGAACCTCATTGCGGCTGTGGACTTCGCGTAAATGAACAGAAACAGTTAGCCGTGCGACGACAAGCCAATCATAGCCTTCAATGCACCTGATTTCGTGCATGTGCTTGCCACATTCGATTTAGTGCAAACCATTTCCCCGGAACAAGATGGCTTGGCCTGCTGCGACTGCACCGGGTTTATGTCCCTCTAGATGGCATCATTCTTCGCTCCATACCACGCAGGGTCGGGTCTCGGAAAGTGGCTTGGTCGTATCGGCATGGACGCTGCAACCCCAAGCGAACGGATCCATGGTGACTATTTGTGGCTTATGTGGCTTACGCATCGTGCCTACAGATTATGTCATGTCTGCACAGTGTAAAGCACCCCGTTCTGGTTCCCTTCGCAAATCACATACCGTCTATGCAGGCAGTTTCGGTTCGGGTCAATGAACAAGTAACACCAGTGGTAATGTCATGCCTTGATGCTGCTAAAAGAGGGGATCGTCACGTGACGGTCCTGAAAGTTCTGAAGTGGTGGAAGTTCATGTTGGTGCCTCCTTCAGTCCTCAAAATGGCCCAAGGTCTAGCTTCGCATCGATTCCAGACAGATATCCGACCTGTTGATCCGCATCTCGGACTAGCGCAAGAACAGTGTACAGCTGAGGGAAGACGAGTGGCTGTGTAGACTCGCCTGGTCGAGACTTTCAGGTTCGCTGTCCTTCAACAGTCTCTACAATCGCGTGCCGATATGTCGTCGACGCCAAGAAATGTGATCCTGGGAAGTGTTCTCGGGGTCACTTCCTCAGCTGTCTTCTTTGGCGCCAATCTGGGTATCTCTTTCATTGCAGTTCCAACACTCCTCCTTTCGTCACCTTCCTCGGGTCTACCAGTACCGGCCAATGCTGAGAACCGGGCTTCGCCGACATCGACTTCATCAGAGAAGCCGTGGACAAGGCCGTCGCACCTGGCTCGTCAATGGCATTCCATATACGACATTGGCAAGAAAGCGGGTCCTTTCTTCGCTCTTTTGGCAAGCGGGTGCTGGCTGCATGCTGCTCGGCGACTGTCGGCCGAATCGAGATCACAACAGAGATTGCTTGTTGCTGCGGCTGGGCTGTCGGTAGCCGTGGTCCCTTTCACATTTGTGGTGATGAAGCGAACAAATGACGAGTTGACTCGACGAGCAACTGCGGCAGCAAAAGGAGAGGAGGAGGATGCAAAAGCAGACGCTCGAACAGGCACGGTCGAGGCTTCCCAGACCCACGACTTAATTCGCTGGTGGGCGCAGTTGAACTTATTGTAGGTCATGGAAGCAAGCGAAAGAGCAGTTGCTGACATTCGCCTACTAGGAGAGCACTGTTCCACCTTGGAGCCATTGGCTGTGCCACCACATCCTTGATACTGTAGAAATTGGACAACACGGCTTATATCCTTCTTCGACGAGCCCGCATCAGGCTCCTTCTTCGACCAACGCTCTCGATGCCCCTTCTTCGGGCAAACCGGGACCGTCGTGTAATCTCTTGGTCTAGACGCTGCGCGATGTCTTGCGGCCAACGACTTCCCTGAGCCTGAAGCCATGCCTCGTCTAGCAATGTACCATCTGGCCCTTGCTTGGTGGGTCTGTGCCTCCATATAGCTCCTTATAGCTCCTTGCTTTGGCCGTAGTTGCCCTTGTATCTGGTGCGCAGGCCTCAATTGTTTCTCCCATCAGTCAGGGAAGGATATCGACGCAGTTTTCCTCTCGACTAAGCGTTTCATTATGGTGTAGCATGCGCAGAGAGAGCGATCATTCAAGAATGCCTCGGGCTCTACTGAGTAGACTCCGGCGTTGGGACGAAGATTGGTGACCTCTGAGTCGTGGCGAATGAGGGCAGAGACGCGCCTGGAGCTGATGACTTCCCAGCAGCAACACTCGGAGATGGCGGCCCACTGTGCACTGTGTTGACTGCCAGGAGGGCGCAGTCGTTTCTTGGCGCCAAGACAAGTCTTTGCCGGCAGATATTCGGGAAATCGAGCCCACACAACTTTTCGCGTAGGCGACCTCGAACATTACAATCGACAAATCGCTCGCCAAACAACCTCTCCAAAGCCACGAAGTCGATTGCTGAGACTACGTCGTCTCGATCACCGCAATCATGGGTGGCGTTACCGTCCGAGATGTTGATGTGAGTAGGAGCCCCTCGACTTGTTTGCGCCGCACGATGCTAGGCTTGAGGAGGGAATACACACCCTATGTCGGCAAAGGCAGAAGAGCGCCCAGTCGAAGATAATGAGCTGACAGCTGGGCTTCTCCACAGGCGCAAAAGTTCATCGAAGCCTATGCCGCTTTCCTGAAGAGACAAGGGAAAATCCGGGTGCCAGGTACGATCTGATCTCGACACCCCGAATGATCTTTTCGATTTGCAAGCGCTCGATTGCGCTTCTTGCACAACGATGCAAGCTCTATGTGCCAACGCTGATTCTGGGGCAATCTAGGTTGGGTTGATACCGTCAAGACATCCCACTCAAACGAACTCCCTCCCCAATCAGCCGACTGGTTCTACGTTAGAGCTGCCTCTGTTGCTCGACATGTCTATCTAAGAAAGTCTGTTGGCGTCGGCCGCCTCCGAAAAGTCCACGGCAGCACAAAGAACCGCGGTTCCCGCCCCTCACACCACGTCAATGCTTCCGGCTCGGTCGACCGAAAAGTCTTGCAGGCTCTTGAGGAACTTGGTATCTTGGAGAAGCTTGATGATGATGAAGAAGGCTCTAGCGGGAGAGGCGGGCGGAGAATAACCCAGGCTGGTGCACGAGATCTGGATCGAATCGCTCAGACAGCCGTGGAGGGTGACGATGAAGACGAAGAGTAGAAGCGGTGACAGACTATGCTGAAGAGCAGAGATGATTGCGGCCCGTGCTGTTTGTGGGGGCGTTTCAACGAGAGACACCCTCCGGGCTCTCAACTTGTGGTAGTCGTCTTCTTGCTGTAAGATGTTTACGGCCATAAATCTCGCGAGTCTGAGATGCTGGGCATTCCAGCGATCATATCGGCAGATTGCCCACCAGTGGTGCGCTCAGTTGCCGGAGGCCGCACAGGAGTCTCGGGCGCACCAGACAAGACCAATGAAACTATTTCACAGTCGAATCGGCGATTGCTCATGTCCTTTGGTATTTAGCGGTTGCCTGTTTTCTTGCTGCCTCCGCACCCAGAGCACGAGGCCGTTCAGGTTCACACAAGAGCACTCCTACACAATGAAACAGGGTTTCTTCGACACGTGCTGTCTGATGAAGTTGCCATGGCTAGATACAAGTACCTCGCTGCCGCCCTGACCTGAACTCCTCAGATCACGGCGGATTGTTGTTCCGCCACGTCGCCAATCTGCCTTGCTCACAGCCTGGAGGCCAAAACGTAGTTCCTCTTGTTTACACATTCAAACTGGGCACACAAGCACTCGATCATTGCGGTCAGCCCATGAATGCACCAACAGGGTTGATGTGGCGCCTCCCCTAGATGAAGATGGTTACTAATAGTATTGGCGAGACGATGCAAAGTCAATTACTGCACTTGACAGCACAGCCCTTTCGTATGACGCCCATTCAAACCAGGGCGAGGCGGCTTCCAACTTTGGGCTCATTGGCAAGGCATCCTCGGATGTGCACATGACAGCTTCACAGATCGGCTACAAGCTTGTACTTCAACTATGCAGCGCTATGGCAAGGAGGCTTTTGCGACTACCGACCCGCCATCTTTGATAGGCTCTATTGAGGTGCCATCAATGCCACGGCGAGGTGCCCAGTTACACACCAGGCTTTCTCGCGTCTGCCATCATGCTATTATGTTGTGTCGGGCCGATACTCCCGACTGAGTCTGGACATTGACTCATGTGTTTCGTTTCTGTTTGCCTATCTCTCCATATTCCCGATGTGTGTTTGGACCGCTGTTCCCACTCGCCTGCGTGTCATGGCCCAGGGAGGGGCTATGCGGTGCAGAGAAATAGCATTCAATGCTGTCTACACTCTTTGTTCTTTCTGCGTTCGTCTGCGTGTTGGCTCTGTTGACCATCGGTTTGGTCCCTCAACATGTCTTACAGATCGAACGTGGCTCCCAGCAGCAGCGGGCCACCATTCCAACCAGTATGGGAGGCTTTGAGGAGCAGCTCTGTCGATCTGCAGCCGCAGCTGGAGTGGTCAGGGCAAAGGATACCGCAAGAACTCCAAAGGGTCGTCGACGACGAGGCGGACGTGCCGGAGAAGCTCAGGCAGATCCTGACCTGGTCTCTCAACCTCAATGCCGCCCGACCACGTACTACACCCACTTTCAGCGCTGCTGGCCCGACAGGCAGCCATAACACCACCCACAATACGACGAGGGATTCCAACGGCATTGCTGCTGACAATGCTCCCGAGTCTGTCTTTGATCGCTCCAGTCAACCTTCCGAGAAACGTCGACCTAGACCACGGAATGCCAGCAACAGTGTTTTCGCTTCCACCATCGACCTTTTCGCCAGCCTTATAGGCAAGACTACAAAAGACCAACCAGCAGCTGCAAACTCATCGAAGCCTCTGGACAAGAAACACCCAATGGTTGAGTGTACAAGCTGCTTCGAAGACACCGCCAAGGACGACACCAGCAAGCTTCCCTGCACACACTCGTACTGCAGGCCATGCCTGGCAACCCTGATCACGACTGCCCTCGAAAATGAGGCTAGTTTCCCGCCGAAGTGCTGCTTGACAGCGATACCACCATCGACAATCATGTCTGTTCTTGACGCTAAGCAGAGAAACACGTATAGAGAGAAGGCAGCCGAGTTCTCTATACCCCACCAGGAAAGATGGTATTGCCCTAATAGCAAGTGCCTGAAATGGATCCGTCCGTCAAAGGTACCGCGACTACCCGCCTGGAATGAAAGGTGCCCCCATTGCGGAACAAAGATATGCAGCATCTGTCGTGGCTTGGCTCACAAATCCTCCTCGGAATGCCCTCAAGACTCTGGCCTCCAAGCGTAAGTGTTCCTGGGAGGCTGATCGATGGTAGCCACATCTACCAGATGTTTCTCTTCCTCGAAGTTTTTGCCTCAGTGCTAATGAACAAGACAGCACCATCACGCTCGCAGAATTAGAAGGATGGCGGCGATGTGTGAGATGTCGGACCATGGTTGAGGTAAGCGGGTCCCTGGTAATCAGCATCACAGCTGACCTGTTTAGCGAACTCAAGGCTGCCGCCACATGACATGCAAATGTGGTGCCCAGTTCTGCTACACGTGCGGCAAGAAGTGGCGTTCTTGTTCATGCACCGAGACGGACGAAGCCAATCGTCAAGCTGAACTACGACGACGTAGGGAAGGACGTGAAAGCGCAAGAGATGCCGAAGCCGCCGAGTTGGCTCGTATTATCGCACAAGCGGAAGAGATGGAGCGACGAAATCCACGAGAGCGACGAAGAGAAGAGCAAAGACGCGAGGCAGAACGACGCAGAGTTGAGGCCGAACTTGCAAGGTTGGAAGCGGAACGTTTGCGAGAGCTCGAAGCACTGCGCGCCCAAGAGGCTCGGCTAGAGCAGCAGCTTCAACGAGTCCTACGGTTATCGGTCGAGGAAAGCTGCCGACGTCTCGAACAAGCCTGGAATGAGACTCGCGTTTCACAGATGCACAGCTTGGACAGCCGCCACGCGACCAGTGAGCGGCAATACCTCCAGGGCCGTGATGAAGCTATAATTCAACAAACGCGAAAGCACGAAAGAACTTCCCAGCAGATGATTTCCAACATCGAGAAACGAATGTCGGACATTAAAGAGAGGCATACAATGGAAATGACACACTTTCACGCCGAACAGCAAAACTTCGAAGACGACATGTTCCTCGAGATACAAATGCATTTCCGTGGAAAACAAGACAGGGAAGCGCGGGAGTGTCGCCTCCAAGAGCGCTTCAGGGAACAGTGCTGGGAGAGGCACCAACGATTGCACGCGAAGCACGAACTTGAGACGCACGCCCTTCGAGCCAATGCACAAATGGAAATGCAGGCCTTGGAATCGGCCTACAACAGCAACATGGCCGAGATCGACCTCAATTTTCGCACGGCTATGCAGGACCTCTCCAGGGAAGTTGCTGCCGACCGTGCTTGGTTTGATTTCCTCAGCCAGAGACGGCAGAATATGGTTGCTGCGCATGCCCGGCTCATGCTTGAAGCTCTTGAGACCGGTCAAGACCCTGTTGGGCTGACCGAGGAGGAGGCAAGGACAATCGCGCCCTTCATCGGTGACGTCCAGCCAGGGAGAGGGGTCACGGTATCGGAATACCTCGAAGCTTTGGACGGTATGAGACAGGGACGTTCGGCAGGGCAACCCTGGATGGAGACACTCTCGCCATCACCCGCAGGCAGTGCGTCGCCGACACATTCCTTTGTCGACCTGGCCGCAACCTCACGGCAATTGTTGAAGAATCTGGAAGCAGATGCGGCACCTGTGAACGTGGTTGGACCACCGCCATCGGCGGCAGCAGCAGCATTCATGCCCGCAAACGAGCTGCTTCTGACAAACAGTGCCTTTGGGTGGATGACTGGTGCTACGCCAAATGACGCTCTGCAGGTGAACAACACAGCGAGCAGCAGCCGTGCTTCGGGACTGAGAAGGAGTCGATGGGTCAGTCGTCACCGTCCACATCCACATCCACGAACTCCAGCATCACATTCGACGGCCACCGCCTCGTCAGGATGCATCATGTCCAGTGCATCGCAACCCTGCCAATTCAGATCCACTCCATCCTCACCAGGTGACCATGCCCCGACAGTGTTGCCTCTCGATATCAATAAGACGCGAAACCCGACAGCGTTGTCAGAGGCGCCACGCAGGCCACAGGATGATCCGACACGGACGACCCCCACCGTCAGCGTCTCTGCTGAGGCGACACCCCCCACCCACTTGTCAGTCAAGCCAACCGCGGACGAAGGCCAACAAGACAGAGTCCTCGGAGGCCTCGTCCCCATCCTGCCACGCGAAGAAGACAGACATCTCAGATGGACGAACGCGCTCACCCATAGACGACAACAATCCCCCTCGACGGGCTCAGCCTCCAGCTCCGACTCCCTCGTCACGACATCGAGGCCGTGCTCGACCACAACAAGAAGGACAACCTCGAGCTTTTCGTCATTTTCCCCCAGCTCGCCGCCAACATCCCATCGATCCAGCGCCACCTCACGAAGCAGTGGCGATAGTCTCTTCCTCCACAGCCTGATCAGTGCAGCAACCGACGCAGCCACAGCTAGGACAGCAGCGACAGCAGCAGCAGCAAGAGGGGCAATGGTAACGGGACCGCCGGTATTTCCGAGCTCGCCGTCCGCTTTGGACCGGTCAAAAACGCGAGACGGGCGACGAGGAGAGAGTCTCTAGGCTGACGAGCACAACTTCCCTTTTATGAACGGCAATGCAAGCAGAGCGAACACGGGAAAGAAGCGAGCGTTTGAGAGGAACTAGGCAGGCAGCCAGGCAAGCCAGGCGGCCAGGTAGGTAGGTATGTAGGTAGGTATGGAGGTAGGTAGGTAGATCCGTAAATCGGTAAGCTAGGGCATCTATCTCTGAGGGCTAGTCCAGTCTTTTTTGAGTACGAAGTACTGTTTGCGTACGTACATTCATAGTACGTGACGTGCAGATGGGGATGGAAAGAAAAGACAAGGGGAGGGAGCGGGCATATGGAGGAAGAAGACAAATCGTTCGACCGAGTAAAGTTATACGTTATACGTTATGGACCTTGTGCGCGGCAGTTTGATAGGGTGACGAGACGACAGTGGACATATATTGGCAGGAAGAGAGACAGACACAAAGAGGGGGGAGAGAGAGACAGACACAGAGAGAGAGAAAGACAGAGAGAGAGAGACAGACACAGAGAGAGAGACAGACACAGAGAGAGAGAGAGATTGATTGGATGGAGTTCTGTCTTTGTTCCCGAATCTCGCTCTCATTTCCAGCTACATACAGTTGTGCCCGAGAACCTGCTGTCCAGCCCAGGACACGACAGCCCAGGACAGGCTTTCTGGACCTATATCTAACTATGACCTATCCCTACAGTACATGGCTATCTGCGCGTAGGTCTCTCACGCCTGCAATGCCGCGGCAGAGTCCACAGCAGTGCAGGTAGACGAACTTATGGCCAAGGCGAGAGCAAGAGCAAAGCAAGACCCGGGGAGCCCACCGGTAATTCCACATCCGTCGTCCCCAGTCGTGAACTGACTGCTATGCAAAAGGGTTGCGTGGTTACGCTGCTCGCTGCTCGCTGCCGCAGGTCGAACGACAAACGACACTCCACCATCCTGCCCGTCGTCGTGGTGGAACAGGATGAATGCATCGACCTCGATCGTCTTATACCAGCGGGGGCGGTTCGGGCCCGTGTAAGGCGCAACGAACCTTAGGACTTGAGTCATCCATTGCCTCAGCTCGACTTCCCTTGAGATATCCAGCTCAAGAGGCATCCAAAGTGCCACTGATTTTGAGCAACAACGGAAGATGACCGGACTTTGTTCTCCGTACAGGCTCAACACAGGAGCGGGATCCGCCCTGGTGTAGACACCTCTTCATAGCGGCGAGGCAACACAAATGTCGTCGATTGAGATTTCCCTTTCGTAGGCGCGCCCTACTTTGTCTCCATGTTCAACCAAAATACCCCAACCCCTGCAACTCCTTTCTCACACTGTCCTCACTCGAGATCTTTCTCATCTGCGTGTCCTCCAACTTCTCCCCTCCTGCAAACCGCATTTTCAGATCCTCGATTGCGCGGATCTTCTTGAGTAATCCCCGAATCTTTTTGTCCCGAGGATCGCCGCCAGGCGTCATGGGAGAGGTGACTTCTAGTTCAGGAGGGTTATGGTCACCTTGAGGGATCGGTGGCGGAGGCGGAAACGGGATCGTGGTGTTGATGTTCGTGGGAGCGTTCGCGCGGGCGGTTTTCTGCTGCCCCTGAGCGGTGTTGCTGGTCGGGCCTTTGGGCGTACCGTTTGCTTGGTGGTGATTTCGATCCCACAGGGAGCTATTCGTGTCACCTCGTTGTCGTCGGCTGTTGCTCCTGCTTCGTTCCTTTTTCGGTCCCGTGGGTGGCTCGAGACCTGGTGCGGGCACGTAATTCCTACTTCGGCTACGCTGGTGGCCTCGACCGTCAGGGCTTCGGCTTGGACTCTTTCCTCTGCCTCCGTTGCGCTGATCAGGAGCAAGGCTGTTAGCTGCTGCACCGTCGCCCTGTTGGTCTTTGGCTGCTGCTGCCGCCGCCGCCGCTTTCTTCGCTTCCCGCTTCTTCGCGTTCTTCTTGGCGGCTTTTGACATGGGCTCGCCGTCAGCGCCCTCTCCGGTACCTGTCAGGCTTACACCGCCCCCGGGTGCGGCTCCGGGCGGCAGCGGCTTCTTCTCGTCAACTGGTTCAGCACCGGGAACAGCACGCTGCCGGGACTTGCCGAAACCGTTGATGTTGCTGGCAAATGACGAGACGCCGTCTCGCACGAATGCTGCACCTCCTTCATCCTCGCGTTTGAACGCCAGTGGCGTCACTTGGCCCCGAGCCCCTGGCGGTCTGTAAGCTCCAACAGGCTTGCTGGGTGTCTTTCGAGTTGCCGTGTATTCTGTAGCACTGATATGGGGGGTAGGAACGCTAGCGAGGGGATTGGCGCCCAGGGGATGTGCGTCTGCCGGTTGAGGCCGCCAGCAGACGTGATAAAGCTCGTTCATGTCCTCGTTGTACATCAGCGGGCCACTCGCATGCCAAATGCGAACGCCATTGTCGACTCGCAGACGAGGCGAGGTGGTTGCCGTCAAGATATGCACGCCATCCGGCGACCATTCGCACACACTGGCGTTGCTAGCTTCGATCGTGCAAACCTTTGTGAAGTCCTTTTCCAAGTCGTAGATGTCCATCTGGCCAGCAAGGTTTCCAAAGCCGGCCAGAAGCATGAATCGACCATGAGGTGAGAACAGCACGGTGTTGCGAGGACCTAGAGGAAAGGTGTGCACCACTTGTGCCTTGGCATTGAAAATGACAGTTTTCGCAGGCATATAACCGTACACCACAGCAAAACTGTTCGACCTCGGTGACCAGGCGACGTCGTGGATAGGACCCTCCTTGTCTTTCTTTCGGTCAGCATGTTGTGGAACGCCACCGTAAGCCTAGGCAAACGTACCTAGATCAATCCGGGAGTCAACGCCGCCATTTGCACTCAGCAAATAGAGCGTGGTCTCTCCGTAGTAGCTCTTCCCAGTTTTGTCGACTTCTGTTTGGGCCAGCACAATCAAAGAAGTACCATTGTCGTTCCACTTCAATTGCACCTTGTCACCTTTGAAGAAGTTCTTCTGGGAGGCAGGAACCGTGAAGTTGGGCACGTTGTAGACTCGGACGGCAGCCGGTTGGCCCTATTGCTCACATTAGATCCGACGATTCCCACAGGGTATGTTGTAGGGCCGACCTTTCTCTCCGGTACAAAGACTGCAATGGTATGACTCTCGCCCGGCGACACCGCGAAGTCCACCACACCCTCCACCCGGATCTTATTCCAGACGGTGGTCAGGTCATGGCTCTCATAGATTTGGACTTCATTAGTGACCACTCTCGCACAAAAGGCCTCGTCGTAGGTGTACTGCAGATTCCACCCGGTCTGGTTCTTTTGCACGAAGCGGGCAAGGGGTTCCTTGTCGACTCCTTCTGCCAAGGCCTTCTCATCATGTACCAGCCACACCTTGAGGTTCTTGACCGCGTCGCCGTTCTCGTCTTTCGAGGGACGTTGCCACGTAATGATGTAGGTGCCCTTGGGGGAGAAGCCTAGCTCGAAGACGTTTTCGGCGGGGAGCGAGGAGATGATATCACCCGTGTCAGCGTTGATGATGTTAACTCTGTTGTCAAGTCAGACCCATATGTATCAAGCTGTTGTGTATCTGAGAGGCATACTTCTCCGGATAGGCCCACGCGAAATACCGGCCACAGGGCGAATAGGTACAGCAGCGCAGATTCCCTTCTGGTCTAGTGTACAGAGTGTTAGCAATGCCACAGGAACACGGTCGTTGGAGGGGCAGGTGAACAAACTTTTCAAACGCAGGAAGCGGCTGGTAGTCCGGAGCACCGTTGATCACACCGATCCCTTTCAGAGTTCGGACTGTTGATATCCATGTCAGCAAGACGAGGCTTCACGAAATTTTCTGGGCCCTAGCTGCGCTCAACTGGCGACTTACAGGCGAACTGAGTCAGAGCCATGTTCGAGAGTATTCCTGGTCTGAGGGGGAGTCTTCCGGATGAGGAAGCCGGTCAGTTCCTATCGTAGGAGAACGTGGTCAAGTCGGGAGAGGCGGTCGACTGTCAAGAGAGGGATAATCGGTCAGGCACAAGAACACAGTGACTGCAGTTCGTTGATGGCGGTGAAGAGTTGTCACAATTCGAGTCTTTTCCGTACTTGACAACTGAATGTCAGCAATTGCAGGAAGGGACACGCAAATCGCACAAGGGTGACGAGAGGGTGGTGGAAGAGGAAGAGGAAGACAAGAGTGAAGAGCAGAGACCAGAAAGAAGCCGGAGACCAGAAATTCGCAGGTTTCGTGAAATACCAGCATCGCATCCCTTCGGGTGACGACTAGCCTCCAAGCCGGCGCCTAAGAATGGGTACCGATTACCTAAGGCGCCTCCCAAGACACCGCGTCGTTAGCGCAGGGCGTCTCGGATAAAACACGCCGAAATACGGAGTAAGTCCATGGTGAATTTCAGTTTGTCCAGGTGTCTTGCAACACTCAAGCAAAGCAAAGAGGGTATAAGGTCAAACGCCGGCTATCAAATCTGCCTCGCAGCCCGCTGTAAACGCCCGTCCCCGAACACTGTGTCATCGGTATCGTACAGTGGCAAGCACAGTCTTCCTTCGTCCAACAGCAAAAAGGCCGAGTCGAAGACACCTCGCCTCAGTTCAGTTGAGTCCACCGGCCATATAGGCCCTGTCAACCCCCCTCGGCCCGGGAAGCTATTCTTTCTCGAAAGGAAACCTACCCAAACTCTGTCCGTCGCCCTGATGCATTGATTGCTGCGCCTGCTCGAGGCCCCCCAACCGATCCCGCATGACTTGCTCTGCCATCTCAGTACCCATCCCGGAGAATCGGGTCGGCTGTCCATATACCGGAGGCTCGTCCACGGGTGGGGCGGGCTGCATGGTAGTGTCAATGATGTTCTGATCATAACTCATGCCATCCATCATCTTGGGATCTGTGCTGCCTGCAGCGGCACTCGGCGTAATTCCACTCATGGGCGTACTTTGGCCTGATCCGAAGCCAAACGCCGGTATGTTCCCAGTGCGCGGAGTTGAAGGGGCGACGACATTCGTGCTCGTACGAGAGATTGATGCGCGCGTGTTGTACGGTGTCGATACCGGACCGCTGACTGTACTGCCTGCGCCCTCGCCAAACCCAACCAGACTGGCTTTATCTTCATCGCTGAAACCACCTGTGCTAGAAACTCCGTCGTCCGGGTCCTCGCTCATCTTGTCTGCGTCGTAGTCAATACTACCGCTCGCCCATGTGGTGCGGCCACCGACACTGCCAGTTGCGCTAGCACTGCCCACGGTACTCCTTTCTCTGAATTGAGGTGCATTGTCGAATGCCTGGCCATAGATACCGCCAGCGCCTGGTACCAGATGCCCTAGTGGAGTTGGTCTAGAGGTCGCGACTCGTTCAAGGCCCGCAAGACGGGAGATGCGGTCGGCTCGTTCGGCTTCGAGGGTATTTGCAGAAGCTGTTGCGCCTCGACCCCCGTGGCCCATTGCGCCGTCTTTGATCGCGACAACCGACAGTGCAGACAAAGATGTGGTGGTCGAGTTCGGTGTGCCAGGGCCCATCTCGCTGGGGGTGGCGGGGTCTGAAGGAGGCGGCGGGACTGCAAGCGCCGTATGATTAGCTTTCATACATATCCGTTCCCGGGTAGACGTGAGACCCACGGTTGATTAGAGTAGGTCCTCTGTTAGGCATGGTTGCGGTCAGATTTGTGTGTAGGCGTGAGAAGAAATGTGATGACCGAAGTCGCGGAGGAACGTGGCAGACTTCGTAGTCTTGCGGTGCCAGGAATCCGTCGAGTCAATATCGCAGCTGCCGTGGGACAAAGAATGCAGGAGGCGATCGTGCTGTCACTTTAGGGTTGTGGTGAGGTGGGAGTGGGTTGGAGCGTGCCCCTGGGGCCGATCGAGGGGCTATGCGAGGGGCGAGCTGAGCCGACGGCAAGTGTCCTTGTAAAGCGACGAAATGAATGGAGTGGGAGTTGGATCTGTGGTGTTAGGTTCAGAGGCTATTCTCAGAGCCAGTCTGCAAGTGGAATGGGAAAGCGGAATTCTAGCTTTTCGAGATAGAACTGCAACGCGAGTCGCAAGCCTCGTCGAGAGTCACTCACTCGCCAGCTTCCATCACGCTACGTCATGGTGGATCCGAACCATCAAGCGCCAGCAGTTGCCATGTGACAAGGCTCTGAGCAGCTGGCGAGGCAGTTGGCAGAATGGGTATGCCACAAAGTCATATCATACATACACTGTTCATAAGAATAGGACCGTCTCTTCGTTATTGACCTGCTCCCGCCCGAGCAGCATCCACTTCGCGCTGCAGAGCCGCAAGATCGGCCAAGATATCTCGATGCTCGCTCCCTGGAGTACTGACTTCGCTCCCTCCAGTCTCCATGATACCCAAACTGGCCATGGACGGCCTTGTTGTCTCCATGCTACTTCTGTTGGATCCTCTCCCTCGCCGCGGAGGCGGAACTGGTGGAGGTAGTCCTTGGCTCATCCTCTTCAAATACGACGGCGTCTGAGGTAATCCTGGTCTCGCTTCCAGGTACCCTACATCCGCTTCCTCGGGGATGGAGAGTACATCTACTGATAGACGGCGCTCGGTCGTGCTATTTGATCGACGCGCCGGTGGCGGTGGAGGAGGTTTGGACGCTGAGCTTATCGCACTCGGACTGGGAGGGCCGTCAACCTCGGTAAGCACGGAGTGGCGCGAAGAGCTGCTTCTCGTCAGCACCGGCTTCTTAGGTGCTTGTTGGCTCTTCCGACGGGCTAGAGGAGGCGCTGGCGGAGTCTTCTTCGTGGTCTCGGTTGTTCCGGCAGGGTCAGACCTGTCACTCGTGGGCATCTCGTCAATGGTTGGTGACTTCAAGCTCGGCGTTCCTGAGCCGCTGTTATGACTGCTAGGTAGGGACAGGGAATTGATGAAATTGTCGAAACGGGTTGTTGGGCCATGCGGCACCACGGGGTCCTTGATTGGCTTCCCCCGTCTGCTCTTCGGAGGAGGCGGCTTCTCTGCTCTTTCTGAGATGGGTCCGAGCCCTGCTCGATACGTGTTCGCCTCGTTGCCGTCGAGCTCGTCTGATGTCCGCGGGCTCTCATCGGGCGCAGGTTGGACGGTCTCGAAGATCGAATGCTGTGAGATAGATGCCGTGTCGGCGCTTGAGCCACTGTCACTTACAGGTGTTGGGCCTGCCTGAGTGTTCTGCACCACTGAGGGACCTCGATCCCCTGTAAGCAGCATTCTCTTGAACGCATCCACGTCCAGGGTCGATCTCGAGCCTCCAGTTGGCTCTTTCACACCTCCTGTCGGCGGGTTATTGACAGGCCGTCTTGGTGTGCTCGCAAAGCGTCCCAACGTTTCTCGGATTGCGTTATCCGTTGCGCCCACCGATCCAAGCACTCCAGGCGTGGTAATCTCGTTGTTCGCCCTTGCGTTCTCCAATGCTCGACCAATAACGCCATCATCGTCATCTGTGGCTTCCGCTCCAAAGGGATCGCTCGCCAGCGCCTGGCTGTAGTCGGTCGGTGGGGGATAAGACGCCTTGGGGCTCGGGAATGCAACGGGGAACTCCTGTCGCGTAGATTCAGGCGATGGAGGATAGGAGACCGGCGATATGGGGATGGCCGGCGGCGATGCGAAGTTTACATGTTTCTGAGAGCTGCTGGGAACTGTTCCAGGAAAGGTCAACACTAGCCCGAGATACAGCCTGGACAGGAGCAGCAAAGCATATACCTCTGGTGTCTAGCGAAAGCCCGCCAGGACTGGTGCCGCGAGGATCCGATGTGAGATTGGGATTGGGAGAAGGGCTCCCACCAGGTCCTTTCAGCGCACTACTCTTGCGGAAGGGATTTGTGGACATGAGGTCTCAAGAGCCATGTAATCCGCACGAGCGCTCATTGATGTCTGACTTCAGGACGAGAGTCTGGAATCCCAAGGTGCTCTAGAGTGGTGGGATAATCTGGTCTTGTGAGTTCGACCCAATCCACTCAGACTGGATTCCTGGATAAGCACGAACGCGGAACCATGTGGCTGCCCGCCCGCGACTCGGACTTTTCAGGGCTGCGCACTCGTACGAGTACAACAGCTTTGACGGGCCGTCAGCTGGCCGAAGAACATGGAGCAACCGCTGCATCTCGCCCTCGACTCAGTTGTCGTAATACTGCTATGGCCCAACTCGGCCGTCTCGCCCGCAGCTTAATCCGATCCACCAGTCCCCCGGACTGAGCTGCGAACAGTGAGGCCGGAACAGACAACAGAACGCATACCGAGAGTTTACATTATGATTACTTTCGACTGCATCTATGGCCGATCATCTGTCTATCGGTCGATCGCATGTCCAGTGTCCAGCCTAGCTAGTTCATGCTTTCCATACCTCGATAAAAAGCTCTTATCCAGCTGTGCTGTCAGGGATTCCGCCTTTCGTGTATTTTTTTCCCGTATCTCATCTTCGTGGGGAGCTTGCCCCTGTTCGTCATATGGAATGAACATCTATGCGGTATGTGCAGATCCTCTTTCCAAGGAATGTCCTCTGTCGACATTGGTAGTCGACGTCACTCAATGATGCAGACCAGTCATCACCGAGGTCAAGGTACTGTAGCAGTGCCAGACTGACGCGCAACGATCTCCGAAACCCCGAACGCCCGGGCTGATGCAAAAGCCACACACACAAAAGGAGCGGCATGGGCTTCATGCCATGGTGGTTGGTGGATTTATCACCGTCGTCCCTTGGTCTGCAGCCATCCATCCTCGCCGCTCCATTGCCATGTCTTCGCGCCCTTGACGGGGTGGAGCAGCATTGGACGGACGACGGTCCTGCCGTAGACATCCTCCCACTCCTGTCCACCACTCTCGAGAGCAGTGATGCCGAGGAGTCGTTGGTAGATTGGCATGGCCTGGGCGGAACTGTAATACCAGGTCATGTTAGTCCAGGCGTATTCGTTCCATTTACTGAAGGTGCTGTTCCAGTAACCCCCAGCCTGTCCAAAAGGACCGCCATTGAACGTAGATTGCAAGGCCTCGGGGGTCCAGTGCCGGTCAGCGAAGATGGGGTGAGGGAATGTGGTGGATTTGAGCCCGTGATGGAGACACATTGTCTGAGGGAACATCTCTGCGTCGATGTGGTGCCCATTCTCCGCGTTCTCATAATTCATGATGTCCAGAACTCGTCGGCTAACTCGGCCTTGGGCGATGAGAGTGGCTCGTCTCGGCGTCGACGTGCCTTGAGCATAACCCCAGAGGTAGTTGCGGAACCACCAGCCGGTGCCCGTCACGTTGAAGCTTGGGAGGAATCCGATCCAGTCGGCATCTTCACCAACGCCCCACTCATAGTTGTCTTCCTCCTCTTTGGGTGCCTTTGGACCACGAGGTCTGACTCCTTCAACGGAGACTGGGCCCCAAACATGGTGAGGGTCCTCTTCTCTTGTAGAGTTGCGAAAGTCGGTCTCGAAGTCACCGTGGACTGCTGGTATATACACTCGGCCGGCTCGCTCCCAGATGCCTCTCCGTGGTTGATCCCGTCCAAAGTTCTCGACGGCTTCAAAGAAATCAAGGTAGTGGCCGGTGTAGCGAACATCAAATTCCCACTGGTAGAAGAAGTCGAACTCGGGGTGGTTTCGTGCGAACCACTGGATGATCATCCACGGCGATCGTCCGACAAAGGCATGCTCGGCCAGGTTGGAATACAGGCTTCGAATCTGAGCATGGTTCCACACTTCTGTCAGGGACCGGAATTCCGGCGGAATGTACTTGTTGATGGTGGCCTGGGGTTCATCTTCGCCGACAAAGAGCGGAACACTCTCGTCTTTAACATGCAGGAGCAGGAACACTTGGTATTTGCCTCCACTGGCCAGAGATGCCTCTGCGATCATGGCACGAATGTTCATAACTGCGTCGGCGGTCCATTTCGCGCCAGTCCAGACACGGATGAGAATCGCAGTCCGCTTTGCTTTGTTAACCATACCCGGTTCCAGCGTGGAGGAGAGTGGTTTCGATGATGCCTGATCGTGCTTGTGTCGGAGGTTCGAATACTGGATTGAATTTGCAGGTCGTTCCTTAACGGCTCGGAAGCGCTGTTTATTGGCAACAACACATTCGTCTTGCAGTTCGCCCCAGTCGACCATATCCCAGTCAATGTCGCTCAGGGTCTTCATCTCATCGACATCGTTGGCGTCCCATTGGTCGATTCCGTAGGCTTGGAAGCGGCCAACGCGATCGAACGATACAGTGCCGTCCAGGCCTGAGGCTTCGTAGGAGCCAAGAGTAGGTTCGACAGCGCCTAGGGATGTCAGGATTGCAGTCACACAAAGGTCGTTCTCTTACCGTTGGCTTGGCCGGGGTAGGCCCAGATTGCATCTTCGTTGCTCTCGTTTAACGGCACACCACGCGGACCGATGCAGGAGACGAGATGATCCAAAGGTTCGTTGAAGTGTCGATAACCGTCGTAGCGAATGAGATGGGGATTCTTGTTCTTACAGTCAACTTCCCCGGTCTCGCAGGCACGCAGATGTGAAATTCCACGCGTCAAACCGTCGTGCCTAGTTGGGCAGATCAGCATTTGTCAAAGTCCGGCATGACACGACATGGCACGTGCAGCACATACGTGGTGAAATCCTTCCAGATCCACTGCTCCCTCTTTGCATTCTCCATTGTCATCTCCATCAGTTCGTCTTCACTAAGCGGCGGAGGCGGAGGAGGCTCTGTGACTTCTTCGACCAATGGCCCGACCGCATCTGGGACAGGCTCTGGCTGTGGTGGTGCAGGTGGAGGGGCTGCATTCATCACCTTGATGACGATGACGAAGGCGATAAAGGTGCAGACAATCTTGGCCGCGGTGCGCAGCCGGGGCATGCAAATCTGCCATCTTGACGGTTTCTTCCAGATATCATACTTTGCAGGAGACCAGCTCGGAGGAGGCGTTTCTGGCTCAACTGGTGAGTCTTCGAGGAGCCCCATTTCGGAGCGGCTGCCACTGATGGTGAGTCTCCGGGTCATCGGCCTTCCTTCGGGGGGGGAGGTGGTTCGTCAATTAGTTGGTGAGTTCAGAATTTGCCTGAGCGAGTGACTGGAGGTGAGGAGGCGAGGCAGTGGGAAAGACGGGCAGTGCGAGGTGTCGTTCGTGGCGGTGGAAGATGTACAGGAGGAAATTGGCGCGGTCGAGGGTGGAGCGAGCCAAAAATTGGGCGGCGTCATGTACTTGTGGCAGTTGCCATCAGGCTGTTATGGTAGCGACCGGCTGTTAACGCAGCAAGAGCGATGGCGGTGGACAGGGAGCAGAGGGTGAAAGCAGCTCGACAATAGCGAGTGACTCGAAGGCCGGACGCAAACACGAGGGCACGAGAGAGGAATTATCTGAAGATACGGAGTCGACGAGAGACGCAACTGCACGGAGTATCCGACTGGGGTGGATCCCAGATGTAAAAACAGTCCCAGGCGTCCAAACCCTGGCTTTGGAGCTCCTTTCGTCTTAGCCTTTCCTCGCTCTGCATATCCCATAGCTTCATGCAGCATAGCGGCTGAGAAGTCTATGTCTCTGGTGCTCAGGGCAAATGATCGATAGGTCGGACCGGACACACGGCGGAGAATATGGCCCGCAGACAGGGAACAGCCCACCCTTTGAGCCTCGCTGTGCATCCACCTGGGCGCCTGTCGATACCCATGCACCCCACGGCTGAGGCAAGTGTTGAATCACAAAATGCTGGAGGACCACGACGCATGGTGATCCTTCAACGAGGTTTGTCCAAACCCCATGTGGCAGGCGAAATGGCAAAAGAGAGACATGGCGCCCGGACCCACAGCCCGGAAGTGCATGCCCTGGCCACCGAGACACGTAAACAGCCTATAGGGTGTGCACCCAGAAGGTCAAGCTTTTGATGCAGCATAGCCCCCCAAGGACAAGGACACATGTGCGAACCGCCGTCTGTGAGTCGGCAAAGCTCGATAACAAGGCTTTCCCGCATATCTCATTAGTGAGAACGATTTGTAGCGAGAAACAACCGCCAGAACGCACCCCAGGGCCTGACTACTGCGCCGACAAGAGTAAAAAGACTACGAGGGAGCCGAGAAAAAGTCGGATGGCTGGGGAAACACTCTGGACGGGCCTCTCTCACGCCGCGGGATGGATCGATTAGGGAGACTCCTTTACCGATGGCGCCATCGTCCGCAAGCCGATCTGATGACGGCCTTGATTCTAAGCTACGAGATAGGACTCGACAAAAAGTGTGTGAAGCCAATACCCGACGCGTTGCTTGCCTCAACCATCCTGGGGTATGCCAGCGACAAGCACTGTACGCGCAAGCTCCTCTCCCAGCGACTCCCTGCAACACGGAACATCGGGGGTTGGTGCCGGTTGCAGTTAGAGGATCTGAATAATGTTGCCTCTCTTCAGATTTTGTGTTGAGCGATTGACGTCACTCTGTCTGGCTCGTGCCCCACCAAAATTCCCGCCATCGCGGAGTTGAGACCCATGATTTTCTCGAGTCAAGAGCCGAGACGATACGCGCTGCTCGTTCCCGTCGTTTGCCCGGCCTCTGCAAGCTTGGGTTGAGCTTGCACAGCGTCCATTTACACGAGAGGTTGGTCCCAGCGAGAAATGCACCTCTGGAACCTACTCGTACCAAGGCACCAAGGCTAATCACTTCAGACGACCCTCTTCTCGTGTTGTACCTGTCCTCGTCCGATCCACATCCATGTTAGACTCATCAGTCGTTTCAGAAAAGAACTACAGTGCTGGCCTCAACTGTCCTTCGGAACTCCCATGTTGCTTCAGTTCGGCGAGCCAGGCTCTGCCAGACATGCCCACCGGACAAGACACGGAACAGGAATACGACTATCCATGACAGCGCAGGCCGAAGAAACCGCCCCGATAATGCAGTGCCGCAGCCAATCAGTTCTCCCCCGGGACATACATCTGCTCTAGCTTGCAGCTGCAAAGTCCGCTCACTACTTCAAGCTGCTATCTACCAGTCGTACTCCGGTCCAACCAGCTTGCACAGCTCGTCCTCCTGCGCCGCGTCGCTCTGCGCTTGGGGGATTGCATAATCGATATTCCTGCCTTGGGCTTTCTCGGACTCGGCGTGCCGTACTAGCACATCCTTCACCTTGTCAAGGTACCATTTGACGGCATGCTCTATCCGGTCAATGTCGTCAGCAACGGGAGATGTCTTTCGGAGAGGGCATCAACACTGCAAGCACTCTTGGGAAACTTGCCTTCAATGGAGTGCAGCCTTCCTAATCCAAGGACGCCGGAGTTGAATCCCTTCTGCGCGTTGACAGCCAGCTCGACATCCTCGGTTTCAACAAAGCGCCAGTAGGCAATATCATGCTCCATCCAATGGTCGTATTCCGGACTCGGTTTCTTCATGCTCGACCTCCGGTAAGTCTCGCTATCATACGAAGTGTTGAGAGCTCCTTTCGCATCGAACCGGCCGATGAACAGGAGATTGTCGCTAAACGTAACCACTCCGAGTGGGTACAGCCAAGCTATTGGGCGAGGAGCCTGCTGTCAGCGCCAACGTTTCCCAGAAGCCGACCTATGCCACACATACTTATGTAGGCCTCCGACAAGCCCTCCTTCTTGGGAGGCAGGAAATGACGAGAGGCTCCTGTGCCCTGCCGTAGATAATACTGATCCAAGGCGAAGTCCTTGGGCAACGTCGTGGGGTGGCCGGTTTGACAATGATAGCACTCCTGACTCCCCATCAGCTCGGCTACCTTGCAAAAATCCGGGGGAGAACAAACCTGAAATCCATCGACAAATGTCTTCCAGTTGAACTCCGTTCCAGCCACCGAGCTGTTCCAGGTATGATCATACTCCCAGCCTGCATTTGGAAATAACTCAAACTCGTTACCGACTTCCTTCCCCGGGTCTGACTTGGGCATTGGCTCAAAATCCTCCCCAAACTGCTGTTCAAAGGTGACTGCTGGCGTCTCCCTGGCGTCAAAGTTCACGAAGATGAAACCCTGCGCGGTGACATGCGTGTGGATCTTGAATAAGCCGTGTTGCTTCGGATCGAAGTCCGGAAGCTGGTTGTATGCACGCGCCGTGTGCAGGTCTCCGTTGGCGAGATAGGACCATCCATGGAACCGACAAGCCAGCACGGTGCTCGAGCCACTGGCTTTCTGAGTCACGGGGTGTCCTCGATGGCGACAGATATTATGAAATGCATTGATGTTACCCTCCTTGTCGCGAATCAGGATGAAGTTCCAGCCGAACATCTGACCACAAACAACTTAGCCCCTGGCGTATATTGATGCTGATGCAGGTTCGGGGTAATCGTACCTCCAGCGTCAAGTAGTCGCCCGCTTTTTGGAACCGAGCAATGAACGAGGCTACATGCCAGAGCTACGATCTGGGTCAGCGATATCCTCGAAAACGCAGGTGACTTTGGGAGGACATAGTCATTCTTCCCCCGGCTTGTCGACCACTCGTCTAAGGGGAAAAGCTCATACCGTTGAAAACAGTCCCCGCCTCTCGAGCTGGAAGATCTTCTCATCGCGGTACCACCTGGCAGGATTTCGTTTGTCAGCACCCTACAACAATACATTTCGTGGCGGCCGCCAACGTTCCGCAGAACACGCCCCAGTATTTCCAGGAAAAGGCCTCCGCGTACCGTGATGGCGCCAAATTCAACGTCTTCCTCCCCAGATCCTCTGGACGAAGGTTCCTCTCACGCCCCTTCTGGAGGTACCCGCCATTCAAGATGAAGTTCCTGCTGTCGACTGTTGTCATGGTCGGCTTCTGGAGAGACCGTTCACAATCTGTTCGTGCTGTGAAGAACCGCTCGGGCAGGGGTGTCACACCAGCCGTATCAACGAATATCTTATGTATCTGACATTATCTGCCGTTCGATAGGCTAGATCCACATACTTGATCTGCTTTACCGACCCATCCCCCCGCCCTCAGTGTCGGAGATGACCGTCTTGGGGATATCTTGCTGATTGCGGTAAGGAGCCAAAGCATATCGGAGTCACCAGTGTGCCAATCACAACCGGTGGAAGCCATGATTGCGGGTAGTTACACGGACGGGAGTTCATTTCAACGCATCCCCTGAGCCGAAAGGCGTCAGCCCAACCGGGAGCGCCACGAGAGCAGAGAGTGAGTCGAGCTTGAGCACAGCCGCGTGGCCCACGGCCATGAAAGGGAGAAGGTGACGAATAAGCACTACCTTGTAGAGAGAACTGTATCTTGTTTGTGGCCAACGACAGCTAAACCCCTGGCATTCCTGCCGGTCCAGCAGTATCTATCCATATATCCAAGTATATCTCGGAGCCAAACTGCCGTGTCTTCGGTACGCTTGGAGCCATCGCCTTAGAGTATCTCGGATTGACTCCTCAACATCCCCAACGGCCATGCACAACGTCGCTACTTGCGAGGGATCTAACGCCAAAGTCCATCCATGTATAAGCCACGCCATTTCATCGAGAATCGTAGACTGCAGTTGAACCCGATCCCCAATAGCCCTCACTTCGCCGATGAATCTCAACAGCAGGAGGGTGGCGGCTTGACCCCAAATCCCTGCCTCGTTGGAGTGCTAGAGATGTGGACCTAGGAGTAGGTTGGGGGTCTTTGGTTGATCTCTCGCGAAGAATACTGAGCTCTGATCAAGGTATCAATCTCGCCTTGGGCTCCACCTTGCATCGCGATTGTATGTTTGACAAGTAAATGTCGAGTAAACAAAACATTTGGAAGCGATAGACCTGGGTGGAAGAGTGGCAACCGTGCAGAGGGAAACACAAGCGGGTATACACACAGCAAAGAAAAGCCGCCTGGGTGCCTGAGCACCGATGACCCCTCTCGAGACAAGGAATGATGGACTTATCGCGGAGACGGAAAAACTGCAAAGGAAGTAAACAATAACAGAAACCTCTTGCTCGGTCAAGCTCCGAGTTTCGAGGTCATTAGTTGTGTGTAAGGGCGCTGGACAATGTAGACGCTTCTGAGTCCGAGTTCGGCGTGAAAGGTATCGTACAGGTTCCGCTCCAAGATTAATCCAATGCGGCGACAGGTCTTGCAGAACAAGATGAGTGTTTCTGTCTGTGAGGACAATGATATTAGCCAGGATGATTTGGGTCAATCGCGGAGACTGACATCACACATGAAACAGAAGTGATGGGATGTATTCACGTGAAGATCCTCCTCTTTGGCACTGGGGTCTCCCCTCCAAAGAAATTTCTCCCATTGGGGATTCTTGGTCCAGCCTTTGCAGGTGTGGGACTTCCCGCCATGTCGATATCGCCATCGCCATCGCCATCTTCATCAATGCGAAAGCCAACGCTTTTGGTGAATACATTCATCGGCCTCTTTGTTGCACCAGCGCCGCTCATGTCCTCGAGCATGCGATCCATGCCTTCGACGTCGAGGTCGCCGGATGCGAGAAGCGTCTGGTCCGATGGCGGGGCTGGATTTAGGGTAGATGCATTGGCTAAGTTGGAGCTTGAAGATAGTGGGTTCAGTGACAGGATCAGGCGATGTGATGTTTGAATGAGCGTGTCAGGTGTCGATGGCATCGTGTCGAAGTCGCTGCTGGCGGAGAAGGGATTATCGTGTAAGGCAGATATGGTAAGGATATTGATCGAGCGTGGTGCTTGGCCTCCTAGTCTGACGCTAGGGAGGCGGACAGGCTTTGCTTCACCTTTCCAGAATGCAAGGATGGATGGCACGTAGAGGATTTCATCGGCATAGCTGATGATTATGCATTCATCGTGCGATGGACGGGTGGAGGACTTTTCTTCGACGACGATGGATCCACGTACTTGGGCGTTTGGTTGGTTCGCTCCAGTATTGGGCTTTGAGCCGTGAAACAATCCCTCGGATCGCACTTTGCGAGTTGATGGAGTCATTGGCGCTAGGGATCCTGAGCTTGGTTGAGGTTGTGAGTGCGACGACTTCTGCTTTATTTCAGCGAAGGGCAAAATATGGGAGGTGGCTGAAAATCGAGTCAAGGAGCCGCCGTGAATGCCAGATATGTTCCCTTGGCCACGAATGAGATTGGCACCAGAGGTAGTTGATGTTGGTCCCACAGCCTCGAGATCCCATATACCCCACTCTCCATCATCGAGCAAGGCTATGACAGCGCGGCCGGCTGCCACCCACTTTGCTGCGAGGATTCGCTTCCTTCTGTGGGTGACTTCGTTGTCTTGTTGGCAGAAGGGTGGGAGGAGGGTGATGAGGAACCTCCCTCGATCGGTGCCACTGGTCCTTGCAGACCGGGTACTTGAGATGGAGGCGTCCGTTGCGTTCGATCCTCGGCGATCCCTCGGGTGTGCTTGCTGGAAGACTTGATAGACTTTGACGGTGGAATTGGAAGGGAGCGTGACCAGTAAGGATGAATGCCGTTCTGCAGGGTACGGAGAGGTGTTGAACGACAGCTCGGCACTCACGGACGATGTAGCAAGGTACGTCCTCCTGAATGGAACAGAATACTCGGGACCCGACAAGACCTGATCTCTTCGTATTGGTATTCGGTGAACCAGTAACAGGCCGGATCCAGTGCATGATATCGAGGCAATGAGTAGAGACCATTGAACTGCATGAGCGTCTTCGGGCTCTTGGCGAGCTTGAGACTGTGAGCGGGTTTGAGGCCTGTACTGGTTTGGTCCGTCGGCGCCCTCCTGTTCACCCGAGGGAGTCCCGGTATGCGTTATGGCAATGTCCGACACGAATTGCTGGTGCGAGTTTGCGCCTTCAAGCTTGACCATTTGAATATCCATCTTTGAGGGATCCTGGACTTCTGGAGCTGGAGGGTCAAGAGGTGCTGATATGATTCGGAGCGCGAGATCTGAGCAGGCTGCAGCGACAATGATGCGGTCGTTATAGATGGTGGGCCATGCTCCTGGAGACGCTTGATGGATGTCTTTTGCAATTTGTGGTACAGCTATCCGAGTTGCTGGTGTACCTAGAGGGATATCGATGTAGCGTACCACGTCCCGGTAGGGAGCATATGGGTCAATTTCCTCTTCGTCTTCTTCGAATTCGGCCGGCGCTGCTGTATCCTCCGCTGCTGTCGGCTCGTCATCGTCATCCAGGTCGATCACCATGGGACCGCTCTTGGAAGTTCCATTGACTTTCGGAGCCAGCGTATCTTTCTTGGGTTTGAAACCTTTCCCAGCGTACCACACGAGGCGCAGGCCTTGCTCGTGACCGTAGACCACCACCGTGGAGCCCTTGGACGATTGACGAGGGTAGACATGCGATGCGTACGCTTCATGAGGTAGTTCATAGCTGCATTGCAAGTTTAGACGACGTAATCGGATCGAAGGGGTGAAAGCCTACCTGAGCTGGTACCGTTCTTTCAGTTTCAGCACTGAGCGGTGCATTGTGCAAGACCTGCGCTGAGCAGGAGCAATGTGATGGTCCGTCAGTGAGGCTGGCTTTTAGAGAGTTGTTGATTTCTGTCCTGGTTGCGAGTGACGCTTCTGGGTTTGGAATTTCTCCAAATCGCGTCGCAAGCGCGTCACACCGCGGGCTGCGGTTCTTTCACCTTCGCTTTCACTTTCACTTTCACATCACTCTCACTTCGTTTTCCACGAAACATGTGCGCATGAGCCGACCTTGGCACAAAATGAGTCGAAGCACATGGCCCTTGACAACTTAGAGATGACTAGAGACCACCGTCTAGCCCAGTTCTCCCCCATGTCCTTCGACCTTCCGCTGCCGCCCCCGAGCCATGAGTTCGATCCAGTCGCTCGGCCTCCATGAGCCCAGCGCTCTATCCTATCTTGTGGCCGAGTCCATACTGCCTGCCGATCCCCACCCATCTCTATATACATGGACGGTCTCCCAAGTCCCAGACGAACTAGGCTCTGGTCTAGTCGAGGAAGAAATCCTTACCACAGAACATTTTGTGGTATGGTCCAGGAATGGTGCAATTAAGAGAGCATCGAGCCTGAAGGTGGAAGGGGAGCCTATTCTCCACGCCTTTGTCACTCGCTTTGGACCCAATGAAGAAGTCGAATCCAGGTGGCGATGGCACGCCGACGATGAAAACTCGTGGGAGTGGGCTCTGGTGGTGGTACTTAAAACTCAGGCACACATATTCCTTCTCTCTGGCGAAAGCTATGTTCTACCCTTGTCTTTTGAGGTCGAAGCTGCCTTTCCCTTTCCCTTTGGATTTATCCTACAGCGAAGGCTGGGAGACAGTGAGCATAGTAGCCATGTCGAGCCGCCTCAACATGACCTTAGCACCATCAACGAGACCTTGACCTCCATCGGCGGCAACAGCTCAAGGCCTTCACTGGTCTTGCCAGAGAAAATTCACTCGAACCCGAGACTCGTGCAATCGAATGCCAATGGAATGCCACGTACGTTCTCTTTCACCGAGATAATGTCGGAGCTGGGATTGGTGGTGTATAGCCCACGTCGCAAAGGTGAACCTCTTGACGAGTGCAATGCTCTGCCTCGCTCGGAAAAATTGGTCTTCATCTCTGGGATCGCTGAATCAGGCTTTGCTGATCTGCCCAGCTGCCCAGTCTGCATGGCATTATCCTTGAATGAGACAACATCCACCTTTACCCTCTGGCACGTTGGCCGAGGTCCAGTAACAGAGCATTACCAAGAGAGATCCAAGAATGACAGGCATCATAAGTCACGCACATCAGTGAGAAAGAGCTCGAACGTCTATGGTCGAGATACAGGCAATTTGAGGGAGAGCCTTCTAGGTTCTCGCCAGGGCTACCCTGACAACGGTCCTTACCCGTCCTTGGAAGAGAAAACGTCCTTCCCAGCAGATGACCTGGCATCGCAGCTTGGGCCCGAGTTTGGAGACGTGAGGGCGCAGACTCGTTCAGCACGAAGAGTCAGCTCGATGCTAGCACGGACAGACCTAGGATCAGCTATGGATAGGAATACGTTCAACGACCTGGCAATGGGGCATGCAGGTCGGAAGAGCCTAAATCGCGCAGCCAAACGAGGTGAGTCAATTGGTAGTCTCAACAACCGTCAGAGTTTTGGTTTCCGACGAAGAAGCTCTTATCCGACAAATGCGTCCATCTTCAGCACTGGCACCTCCTTCCTAGACATCTCAGCACGTGGATTGTTGGAGGAGATGGATCCCTTGCGGCAATCGACGCGTCTCGAGGAGGATGCTTTGGAAACTTCAGAGTCCAATCTGCCCAGGACTATCGGGTTCTTCAAAGTAAAGAGCTTTCCAAGTGCCCAGACTTCGACTTCTGCCAGCTCGCATCAGGACCTAAAGGTTTTCCAGCTCAACAGTCCAAGCTCGCCTGGTCACGATGGCCGGCGATTGAGGGAGGTCTACCTTTGCGTGATGGACAAGATGGTGCAGGAGATGACTTTAGTCAGGGTGTTGGTGAAATTCCACACTCCAGTCATGGGCCCGAAGGAATCAACCTCAAAATCTTCTTTTGAGCTGAAGGTCGCTGAGGTTCGCCGAATGCCCGGCATCAAGGACGCCTGCACAGTCAATGATGGAATGATCCAGCGGCTGGTCGTTTTGACGCAGTCACGGTCCCAAATCACGAGTCTTCACCTCGAAGCACCCTGGTCGCCGTCATTCCATATCCAGCTACCCGAGTGGTATGCGGTCTATGATCCTTTTCTAAGCGCACAGTGGGCTCGTCCTAGGAAAGACAAAGATATAGGGATTAGGAGGTCCATACTTGGGACAGAAGTGAAGATAGAAGGCCTACTCAACTCGGGAGTTGAGGCGCAGATATATGCTGTTGACCAAGAGACTCGCCAGCACTCATTGGGACTTTGCCTTGCGCCCCGAGACGGTCTTGTCCGCCAAATCCTACAAATGTGTGGATTGATTCTGGGTCCGAATCAAGAAGAAACCCTCTTAGTTGCCTTCTGGGAGGTTTTCAGATGGTTGAGAGGCCGAGATCCTCCATCAACGTCTGAGTGGACTGCAATGGTCGTCGTGCTTTTCTCCCTGGCAGTCCCTTTCATAAGCAATCCACAACCCAAGTCAACGCCCGGTCGGCGGAAAAAAACCGGTCTATTGCGGTCCAGCAGCGGAGCTGCCATCGATCTTGCCAATTACCATCTTATGCACAACGATGGCTACGAACTGGCTCCGGAGTCAGGCACACGAGGATCAGTTTGGGATTGGCTATCGCAGAGACCGGTACCCAACACAACACTCTCACCAAAGTCCAAACACACCAGGACTGCAAGCGCGGTCTCGTTGCATGACGGCAAGGCCGACAAGAATTCATTCTTGATGGGATGTATAGCCATGGCGAGAGAGTACACCCAGACGCCCTTGGGAGAGGCTGCGCTGGGCCCGGAAGGCTATTTACCAACATCGATTAACAGGGATCGAGAACAACGCTGCAACGCCATACCTAGCATTTTGCTTGGCCTGCATCTTCTTTACGAAGAAGGTAAACTCAACGACACATCCGCACCAAATCTGAAGGGATCCAAAGACAGCCTCCTGCTGGTTCTGGTCCAACTAGGCCGCTGGCTCGGATGGAAGGACTGGACAGCTGAGAGTAACACTTATTATGAATATGAATCGGCAGAAGTGGTGGAGTCTTTGTACGACGACTCGTCGATAGATGGTCTGCGTATTCCGGCTCAGCCCTTCCCACCACCTTCAATATACCAACACCTGGATGGCTGGATCAGTGGTTCTTCTCCAGCTTCCTTTCTGACATTGGCACGGATATGTGGTGTGACGGACCCGAGCGGTCCTGACGACCCATTGTGGAGAGTAATGTTTACGCTGACCCCACGAACATTAGCAATCTTGTCCTTCATGGACCATGCAGACGGACAGTTTGGTCCAGCAAAGGCACTTGACGTCCTCTCTCGTTCCGAGGTAAGTGATCATATGTTGACGACGCTGCCTGACGGAATCGCTGCCGCCTTCTATCAAGCCATCGCTTCGAGACGGTTCGGGATGTCCCGAATCTCGAGCCCTGGAGATCAGCTTGTTCTCGGAATCGATTCTGAAAACCGACAAGCCTATGGCTCAAGTCACTCTTCACACAAACAGCAAGTAATGCCCTCTCACGAAGCGAATCGAGACTACCATACAGTTTGCTCATCTGCACTCGAGGCAGAAACGCTACAACGGTGGGATGCATCGTCTGAAGCTGACCGACAAGCAATTACAAGACTGATATTCCACGAAGATCGTCGATTTCAAGAGGCTTCAAAGATTGTGAACCAGACGAGGCCTCCACTCGTGGAATGTACTCCTGAACCTGACTGGAGCGAGGTGGATTTACTGGAGGCGCAGAAAACGCTGGCACAGCATGTCGCAAAAAGGACTTTGTCAGTCGCTGCAGGACGAGGCATGATGCATTTCACTGCCCGTGTCCCATTGCTTACGGAAAGAGTGCCCATACCTGCGTTCAGCTTGCAGTGTGTCATGAAACCTCGGAACGCCAGCGAGAGCACTCAAGCCATGACTTTTAGTGCAGACAAATCCACATTTACAGAAGAAAAGGTCTGTTGGGCGTTCTTCCATAATGGTGCATCCATGGGCCTCATGATCTCAAGCGATGCTCAGGGCATCGATACTTCCTGGATCCTCTACAACAAGCCGCCCGAGCTCACAAACCGGCACGCTGGGTTCTTGCTCGCCCTCGGCCTGAACGGGCATCTCAAATCACTCGCCAAATGGGTTGCTTTCAAGTACCTTACGCCCAAGCACACCATGACTTCGGTCGGACTGCTGCTCGGACTGTCAGCTTCCTTTCTGGGGACTATGGATACCCTCATCACCCGTCTCCTGTCTGTTCACGTCACTCGCTTACTGCCCCCGGGTGCTGCTGAGCTGAATCTTTCACCGCTTACACAAACCACTGGAATCATGGGCATCGGTCTTTTGTACTATAACTCCCAGCACCGTCGCATGTCTGAGGTTATGCTCTCAGAAATCGAAAACAATGATCCAGAAGAAGGTGTGGTGTCCGACAATGTTCTGCGCGATGAGGGATACAGACTTGCGGCTGGGTTCTCCCTTGGTCTTATCAATCTCGGGCAGGGAAGGCGGCTTCATGGTCTGCACGATGTGGGCCTCGTGGAGCGTCTGCTCACTATCGCCGTTGGTACCAAGAACGTGAACATGGTACACGTGCTGGATCGCGCCACTGCTGGAGCTGTTATGGCACTGGCATTTGTCTTCCTCAAAACAAACAACGAAGCTATTGCGAAGAAGGTCGACGTTCCGGATACATTGCACCAATTTGACTATGTGCGGCCAGATATCTTTCTCCTCCGGACATTGGCTCGACACTTAATCATGTGGGACGATATCCAGCCCACTCAGGACTTCATCAGGACGTCACTGCCCAAGGCTTATACATGGCGCAGTGATTTGAGATCGACCAAAGTCCTTAGCACCGAAGATATGCCTTTCTTCAACATTGTTGCAGGCATCTGCTTTGCTATCGCCTTGAGGTTCGCCGGGTCGCAACGCCATGATGTTCGCGATCTGTTGGTCTCCTATCTTGATCAGTTCCTTCGATTGAGCCGGTTGCCTGCCCGCAACTACGACGCGCGGGTGACGTTGAATAGTGTGCGGAATTGCCTAGACGCGCTTGCGCTGGCCACGGCCTCTGTGATGGCTGGTTCTGGCGACATACATGTGATGCGCCGTCTACGTGCTCTTCATGGACGAGTTGATAAAGAGACGCCGTTTGGAAGTCACCTTGCGGCTCATATGGCCTTAGGCGCACTGTTCCTGGCCGGAGGTACCCGGACATTCGGCACTTCGAATCTCTGTATTGCAGCCCTGTGCATTGCCTTCTATCCGGTCTTCCCCAGCGATGTCCTCGACAACCGAGGCCATCTACAGGCTTTGCGCCACCTCTGGGTTCTCGCCGTTGAGGGCCGATGCCTTGTGGCGAGAGATGGTGACGCAGGTGGCTCCGTCGTCGATGGCGTGACCGGTCTCATCCATTTGAAAGATGGCGCCACTCAAGTCATCCGCTTGCCTAGCTTGATCCCAGAGTTTCACACGATCAAGGCCCTGGAGATCAAAGGTGCAGGCTTCTGGGACAGTTACACCGACTTTGAGTCCGGCGGCAAGCACCTTCTGGAGAAGATCAAGCAAGAGAACGCAGTAAATGTCGTGCTGCGACGGAGAGTGGCCTATGATACACCATCCAAAGATCTCTTCATGGCAGAGTTACAGGCGAGGGCTGAAGCCATGGGCATCCCTAGCGTTGACCCGAATGCCATTCCATCGTACGCACAGACCACGACCAACGCGGAACCTCTAGAATGGCTCTTCGGTCTTGAAGCCTTCAAAGACTTCGATCACGCTGAACGAGCGCTTGTATTAGCTACGACACCTGTGGATGGCACCACCTTTCTCCGAACAACGGTTGTGGATTCCAGACTGGAGTTCGAGAGGGGTGTTCTTCCACCAGCTGTTGAGAAGGGTAAGCTAGATAAAGACGGGCTGTGGCAATTACGCCTATTGTTCGCTTGGTTCGATCGGTGGGAGAGGGAGGATGAGGAGGTTGACCGGAGACAGAGAGAGCAGGGGCCAGACGAGGGCACGCAAGAAGCTGCTACCGATGACACAGAGAAAGATAGCGACAGGTGGTTCTCGGCAACGGGAGGGAACTGGTTACGGAGAGAAGTTATTGAACGATTGAGATGGCGGGTGTGGAACATGACCACGGGCGGCGTCGTCGAGGATAGCCACGATGACGACGACTACCAAGACGAGAATATGCAAAGCCTACGAGACAGAGCATAGTGCGGGAATATCTGATAATGCATGACACAAATGTAGTGCCATCTGAAGTGTGCTGTTTCTGCGTGTCCTGAGGACGTGGCGTTTCGAGAGCTACTATACCGATTAGTGATGTTACCACTCTTTGGTACCCGTATCTAAAGCAGAGGTCCACGACGGCCCACAGCCACCAAGCTGGGGCACGGCTTCATGCCTGTCGGGCGAGCCTCGCACGGCGGCAGGCACAGCCCCTGTCGCACTCGAACCACTACATCTCAACGAACCAATGGATGGAAAGTAGCCAAGTTGTCTGTTTGTCTATCTAAGCATGTGTCTACCTATGTGCTGCTTACAAACAAGTGAAGGAAAGTAAGAGGCACAGCCTCGCGGTCAAATCCCAGCCACTGTAATTCAAACGCCGAGTTGCCTAAGTACCTACCGATATTATATAGGCATATATCAGCCTTGTCAGCCTTGTCAGCCTTGTCAGCCTTGTCATACCACGAGCTTCCACCAGCCCTGTTACGCTATAACGCCCACTTTGGCGACTTATAATTAGGGCTGTACGGATGTACTAGGGCTGTATATGGTAATCAAAGGTAAATAGACTTGCTTAGGTAATAAAAGGTACTATATTAACTGTTATTATACGGAGTAAGCACTATAGATACTCCGTACTCCGTCCTGTAAGGCCAGAACTAGGGCGCTAGGGCGCAGATGGCCGGGGATACGACGTACCCGTCCGCCGCCCCCCACCCCCCCCAGGTATAGGGCAGCGATACGCGTGCTGCTAGGGCAAGGCAGGTGGCCCGGAGGATAGACGAGGTGATCGTGGCTTAGGCGCTCGGGCTCTTAATGTCCCTGCAGGTGGAAAAACAGAAGACCGTCTACTGGGTGGTTGCTCTTCTTCTTCTCCTTCTTGTGCCTCCTCTGCTTCCGGTTCGTCAAAAAACTGGCCGTGTGGTCGCCCGCCCCGCGGTCGCTCTTCCGGTTCGTCAAAAAACTGGCCGTGTGGTCGCCCGCCCTGTGGTCGCTCTTCCGGTTCGTCAAAAATCTGGCCGTGTGGTCGCGGGGCGGGTTGTGAAGGTCCAGGGTTGGCCGAGCTGCTTTCGGTCGGAAGAAAGCCGACGCCTCCTTGTTCCTGCACAGCGTTGTCCACCTCTCTGTCAAAAATCGCTTGAGCCTGAGCGTTGCCGGGCCGAGGGAGTGCGATCTTTCGACCGGTCATCTGTTCGTACAGTTCTGCCTTGATTTCGTTTTGCTCTTTTTGGCTGACGTTGAACGTGTTGGTGCTGGTCTGTCCCGATTGTTTTCGTCTCTGGACGGGCAGGGCATCCTCCGGGGGCAGCTCTTCGTCAAAGAGGGAATCTCTCTTCGGTCTCTGGTCTTCCACTCTGGGTGCGCTTGATTCCTGTCGGACGGATATAGAATAAGTCACCCAGGGCTCGCCTCGGGTTGAGGTCGTCCCCTGTCTGAGTGAGGTCGGGCTATTCTCCGCCGTGAAGACCGTTGCGACAAACAGCGAGCTGGGGCCCCCGTCGAACTGGATTGTTTTGCAGGGGGATTTGAACCGCTCCTTTTCAACGGTCGTTCTCCCCTTCACGGTGAAGCCGCCCACCTGTGGGATTTTCCCAATCACCGGCACAGCTTTGGCAGTCCCACCGAAACACCGCATGGACCATTCGTTCGGCTTGACGGGTGGAAATGGATTCAGCGCCATTGTGGGCTACAGTATCGAGACGGTGGGCAGGCTCGGGCAGCAGTGGACGAGAAAGGTGAATTGAAGAAACAAAAACTCTTAGCAGGAAACTGTAATGGCGAAGGTTGAGTTACGGAACGGCCAAGGTTGATTTACTGAATGGCGAAGGGTTGATTTAATCACTGAACTCACCTCGTCTCCAGCCAGACCACATTAATAGCCTCCTGCCGCCGTCCCCATTTGCTGTGGCGGCCCTACGCAGAGAGCTATATATAACCATGGGCCTTGCCGAACAACGTGACCACCTTAGGGCTGACGGTAGATGCAAGGAGACACGGGTGGGATAGGACGAGTAGAGCAATAAGAGATCTCCGCCTTCCATTGGTCATGTACTGTGTAGCTTCTATTCAAGGACTGTCTTTGTCCTCACGCTAAGATCGCGCCTCGTGTCGTTATTGCCGAAGAATGCCACTCTGGGTAGTCGGTGCCACTTTCCGCTCCCACTCTCCGAGGAGGCAGCGCAGAAATCGTTTGATGAGTGGAATATACTCCGTATAGCCTCAGCCACGACGGTGAACAGCAAGTCTTGCCGTACAGTATGGATGTGGCGGGGCAATCTTACGGCGCGTGGTCCTTCTATTGAGGTCAAATAGCCATCAAGTCGAGTCCCGGTCCAGAAATAAAACGTGCGGCCTTCGTACTCCTGTAGGTCGGTTGGGGTCACTCCGTAGTCTCAGTAGAATAGGACGAGGTACATACCGTAAGTCTCGTTAGCAGTGCTCGGCAGTTCAGTCACGTCTCTGACGACACCCGCCATCCGTGGCTTGTCTCTCGTCATAGCAAGAGAGTGTAGCACGATAATTAGCAGTCCCAGCAGAGCATCTTCTACGCTTACTGCCTTTTTCCTGAAGAATAGGAGATGGTGCGCCATGTGCCTGCCCAGATCACCGGCCAAGATGGAGTCCAGGTAAGGCTGCCAGCGCCGGACTCCGATGGAGGGAGGCCTCTGAGACGTTCCTCGGGACGTCCCTGATGCCCCGTGCGTGGCGCCTAGGCGGACTGGCCCTGTCCTGAACAACATATTGACAACTCGGAGGTGAATCGATCTTTTAGCTCATATGCTTGTTATGAACGCGGGGTGGCTCGCGAGGCTCGCGGTCCATGACACCGTGGTACCACCACAAAGGGGTTCGAACACGTCTCATAGTCTCGCCGGCCTCAAAATGCCATCAGTTACAAACACAATACGTGGAGCGGCCCGGCGAGGTGCCTCTTCCGAATGCCGTTGGGTGGCCGTTCATGATATACCCACAAGGCTGAACGCCGTCGCCGTAAGGCTGAGCGAGGAGTAAGATACAGTACCTACATAGCGGTCATCACGCCGGTAGGCACCGTGTTTTGCATTCGCCAAGCCGTCGTGCCGGCGAAGTGCTACAGTATTTGTCGTGTTCAGATGAACTACACGTTTGCGTTTCTTCTTTTGGTGCCTGGATCAACATAAGCCGTGAATTCTGCACGGATATCCTTCAAGTCCAGGCTTTCTTCCAGTGTACAAGACAGGACTTGTACCGTGCATTTCAACGGACCTTTTGACGTGAATCACCAGCTGGTTGTTCCGTGTAAGTGATCGATAGCAGCAATGGGGAAGAGCTTCCAGACCAGAAGCGTTGGAGCTGAACACGAAAGGAAGGCATCCCATCCCTTTTGCTTCATCACTTCTTTAGTCCTGGTAAAGAGCATTGTCATCGTGCATGATCCTGGTGGAGGCTCTGAATTTTTTCGTGCGGTACCGGCAAGCAAAGGAAGGAGAACAAACAAGAAGCCCGCTTTGTCCTCGTTGGTCAAATAAATAAAGCCCATGGCTTCGGAGTTTGAAGGATGCGTAGAAATGAGGTGGGATGCCACGACGTAAGTCACAAGAAAAGCACCCGCGCAAATCGACTCGAAAACCGTATACAAGGTGGGTATTTCCTATCCACGGTCCCAAGTGGCAGGATGGTGTATTTGCAATGAACCGCCCAGCCTGGCCAGCTTGTCTGCCCTGTCTTCTGTGCTGAAGAGGAATGCCGATGCAGTATTTAGTGCTTACCGAACAAGGGATAGAATGTAGATATTCCTCCCCCCCCATTTGTCGTTGCACGAAGGATCAAACAATCTGTGGACGATTATTCCAACGTGCATGATGTTCCTGCATGGAAGTCTTGGCCTTCCCGTCGGCGAGCACTTCGCTGGATGAGCAAGCCCACGTTGAGAAATTCTTGGCTGAGCTCAAGAATCAGTCACCCGGCGTCTGCTGACCGTGTCCGGTCTCGTGGTTTTGCCAGACCGTATAACTGCATCAATGCCTGTAACTTGATACTTAAACGCCCCGGGATCGCTTCAAGAGTCCGCCGACAGTGTGAATGGACCCGGCGGAGGTAAAACTGAGTAAGCAACTTCGAGGGCATCGGGGGATGACCGCACGCGGGAGCTACCGCGGAAGAAAAGAACTGCCCGCGTCAGGCGGACCGGGTTTGTTTTGTCACCCGTACACCGTACGTGGGACGAATCCTCACCTACCCAAATCGGCGATATCTCAATTCGGGCCTCACATATGATAACGCGCTGTGATGTGACGTTAGACAAGCTTCCTGCCCGAGACGCGAGTTGTGGACGACTCGCCCGGGTCTTGTGACAACCCCCAGCTAGGCCCTGGGTCTTATGCGTGGCAGGTAGCGGCTGCCTCTAGACCGGGGACGTCCGCCAATTCAGGCCGAAATAAACATCCAGTACCACATGTGGATGGACTTGCATCGGCCCATTGCCAACATGCAAAGGCATCGACGCCGACATCAATGTCCGCTACAAAGGGTCGGCATAAGGTTGATCAGTTCCGGCCCAAACAATGGGCCTGCGGGCTGACGAAGCGCACAAGTCGGCCAAAGAAACAGAAATGTGGTATGTGATTACGCGGGAGTTCTCGTAAGAAGCCTCGACACTAGCGAAACTCTGCCGCGGCTATCGCTCGGTGGACCACAATTTGAGATTCATAAGTAGTTCGTAATGTCAAGCGGTTGGCGGTAGACCCGAGTCGGTCGCCGGTGGGCGAGCAGCTGATTATTGTCCAGCCTCAGACTATGGTCGACTGGTAGGTGCGTGTGTCCAACTGCAAGTGCCAAGCTTGCCGACAACTAGCCTTCGGAACCACCTCTATGAGGTTGGTAGCCAGACCTAGATACTTCATCGTCCAGACCAGACCTCCAGACCATATCGCAGACATGTGAGCTCTTAGGCTGGTAGTATCTCGATATCCAGTACGAGTACGCTCCTGGACACCTGGGTATGAAGCGGCTGGTTATCCGCCTGAAGCGACGATTGCGATAGCTCACTGGCAGATCGGCCTGCTGGGGGTTGCAAAAAGACGCATTCCGAATGAAGGTCAATAAGACGACGAGTCGTAGATTGTCCTTTCGAGCCACCCTCTAATGTTCCTGACTTTGGTTAGCTCCAGTGACTGGCGATGTCCAGGCCTGGGAGAGGCTAAAGATTGTTCCGATGTAAGACAGCCAAGCAGATGGGAGGAGACGACTGTGATTCGTTGAGGTGCGCTTCACCCACAATCCCGTTCGGATTACTTGTTACCTCTTTTGGCAGCCAATGCCATGACCTGTACATCAAGCTCAACATAAGGTGCTGCTTGCTCTGCGGCCGCACCTACAGCATGAGCTCGCCATCAGAGGATCCCGGCCGATGCGTTGCCACCAGGCTAAACGATTGCAGGACAGGGTCTCCTTTTCATTCATTCCATGGACGGCGGCGAGAGAGCGGTCACAGGTCGTGGCCCAGTCAGGTGAAGTACTCGGACCTCGTCCATGTACTCCAATCCTCCCATGGCCCTGCAGTCTTTGTGGGCGATCCACAAGTTGAATGTGGAAGTGATCAGGGTGAATTCTAGGCTTCGTGCTGAAGCCACCGACGGATTCCACATGCTTCATATGCAGGCACTTCCTACCTGTGATGTTCCAGAATTGCCAGAGATATAAGTACCGAATCGCACGGAAGAACCTCATCGGTAGAGATTGTCAGGGTCTGTCGAGCTTGAGCTCGAGCTCAAGCTCATCGCTCGCTCCCACCTCCCACAAGCCGATCAAGTCCTGACTATACTGGTGCAACCAATGGCATGTGAGGAGGAAATTCCCCATCGGTGTTTGTCATGGCCAATTAGTGATTCGGTGATCATGAAACCCGAGTAGCATGGGGGGCTTTTGCGACAAAGCTAATGATGGAGTTAGCAGCAGGTCCTGGTAAGAGATCTGAGAGGAAACCACAACAGAGTTCGGAGATTCGTGCAGCAACCTTGCTGACTCATGAGATGGCATGCAGGTGCAGGTGCAGGTGCAGATGTAGATGCAGATGCAGGTGGTGCCGCGTAGCGCTTGTCTAACCTCAGCAGACCGGACAACAAATGCTGAAGGCGGTCATTTCGTGGATTGTAGACTTTCGGCCGACTGAATCCTGGCCGTGATAGGAAGTCACCATGCCACCGAGAAGGTCGTTCGCGAGGAGTCTAGGCCAGCGGCGGCCTTGAACCTGCAGCGCGATCGGCGAGGTCTGATAGGTGAGGTGATGGTCCATTCTACCTAGTGTTCGTCGTGGTCGAACGAGAGTAGACTTTGGCCGGTGGAGACTGTTGCGAGCCGCACTGCATCGCATGAGAATGTTGACGAAGCCGACAGCGAGAGGGAGCTCGAACTATGACTGAGATTTGGTGAGCATTCTGAGTCAGCGGCTGGGCGCCGTGTTGTCAAGCCAATCATGCAGCAAGCCAGACGAGCTCGAAAAGGGCAAAGCTCACACTCGCCTGGGATTTGCTACAGCAGACTCAGGATTCTGGTTGTTTGGCGGTGCTTGGAGTATCGCCTTCCTGGCGACACATGAACGACGGCGCGCCCTACCGTCCGCTGCGCACCAGGGGATCTGGCGCGAGTGAGAACCTGGTGCTGGGTCGTAATCAAGAACTAACATTGCAGATACCGCAGCAG